CATCGATAGTACCAGGAGTGACCTTTGGTTGTGTGAGGTTCATGGTTTGTGTCTTCATTGTTGTTGTTGTTGTTTTGTTTAGTTGGTTGTATTGTTCAACTTTTTGTGTTTGGTGAATTGTGAGAGATGAATTGGAATGCAAAAAAAAGTGAGGAGGGAAACGCGCTTCTGGGAACGGTCGTGGCGGGCGCGATTTTTCATCAAGAGGTTTAGTTTACGGCCCACAGCCACAAATTCTCAGTCGATTTGGGAAGAGTTAACCCAAATTTATAGACAAGAGGACAGGAAAGCGTCGTTTATAGCGCTTGCCACAAGTAATATTCTACTGTACGAAACTACCGTACAGAAAGGATATGTAGAAAGTACGAAAGATTGCACGTGGAAAACGTCATTGGCGAAGCTAATTGCTTAGAAAGTTCTCGATGAGAATTGATTCAAATGTAATTTCAATTGAACCGCCAGAGATCCCTGCAATTAGTGAAGCGTTTGCTGCAGACACTCAACCTTTTGAGTCCCACAACCATGTTTTCGTCGATGACGACTGATGACGGAGCGCTTTTTAAAAAAACAATGATGACTCACACAGCAGTCGTGGAAGAGTGGTTGGCAGCAACGGGGACCTAAGGCTACCTGTAAAATAGGTAATTGTACGCGGTTTTGTCTTCGAATCGCAATACTGTACCTAGTAGCAAGGTACTCGCTCTATAGGCACCGTACAATACATGATTATTCTAATGGTTGCCTTCAACAACAATTTTCAACAGATACTATAGATCAGGAAGAAGACGCCATTATTCTAATGGTTGCAGCAATTTTCAACACATATTGATCTGGACAACGCAAGCGTGATGCTTGAGTTGTACAGGATGCGGGAAAACAAACCTAGTACCAGATTCTTCATGTGAAATATAATTTAATAGTACATTCTATTTGGTGCTATCTTTTTTCGTAAGATGGAAAAATCATTAGCTGCTCAACATTGGCATTCCCATGGGTTGCAATAGCAGTTACTGATTCCTTGTTGCCGAGTTCCGAATGTCTTGGCAGTCATTGGGTCCCAATCGAACGTAGCAGGACTACTCGAACGATCGCTTCCACTTTCCATGCTATCGCTGCGACTGTGTGAGCGATCAGATGCTGGATTAGAATCGGAACCATCCGATGCGACAGTGAACCCGGCTGAGGATGGGTGGCCGGTCTTGAGCGTGTTACTGGCCTCAATAGTGTACAAGTCACTACATCTGTCAGCCTCGTCTCTTCTCTTCATGTGATTTACCAACGCTTGATTGATGACTTCGTTGTCAACTTCCACAGAAAACGAACCGTCACGATTACAGTGCATTTTGCCAATCTCCGCCAGCAGACCCATAGTGGGCTTCTTGACGTAGTGCTTATCATAGCACAGCTTGTTCTGGATACCCTCGATTCCAATTCCGTCAGGGACGTAAACAGGAAGGCCAGCTCTTGAGACATAGCTGTAGTGCTCGTCAACTGTGCTCTCGTCACACACTCCCAGAATATGGCTGACCTCGGCAGTCACACACATTCCAATGGCGACAGCCTCACCGTGCAACAGTGGACTTACACCCTTAGAGTGAAAGGACAAATGCTCGACAGCGTGGGCAATGGCATGCCCATATTGCGGAACCATCTCATTGAAGTCTGACTCATGGTAATGGGTCAGAGTCGGGACCTTGTGGTCAATACACTCGCGGCAGACCATCTCGAGGTACTCAGAATTGCGGAGGGCTTGGTGGATATCATTGTCCAATGGATCGACAATGGCCTCAGTCATATTCCTGGACTGACACAGGGCGTGCTTCAGAGCCTCAGAGATACCATTTAGGATGTGTCTTTTCGACAGGGTTTCCAAGACCTCAGGATCAATAACAATATTGGTGGCAGGGTAGTATGATCCAAGCAGATTCTTCCCCAGCTGATGGTTCACGGCTTGCTTGAAGTCGATGGCGGCATCAGTCATTCCCATCATGGACGTTGTGATGTGAACCAATGTGATACCACGGTAGAGAGACGAGGCGATGAAACCACACAAATTATTCACAACTCCACCACCCAAGGAGATAATGCAAGAGTTCTTGGAAATACCGGATTCCAGGATCTCATTCACACAGTTAGAGAACACAGCAAGCGTCTTGTGGCGTTCAGCACTGGGATTTCCACTCTCGTCGACGGCATCGGCGGGAGTGACGATCTTGTACACATCCAATCCTGCGTCGCGGAAACCTTGGAGTACCTTATCACCGTAGACCTCGTCGACTATCTCGTCAACGACGAGGTAGTTCTTAGCTTCGTGACACAGCGCTGGGACGAACTCTCGCCCTCGAGTCTCCAGCTTACGAAGTGCACCACTTTCAATGATGATGTTTGATTCAAGTGGCTTACCAGGACGAGCAAATCTATTTCTGTAGACATCGTCTTCATCGATAGTACCAGGAGTGACCTTTGGTTGTGTGAGGTTCATGGTTTGTGTCTTCATTGTTGTTGTTGTTGTTTTGTTTAGTTGGTTGTATTGTTCAACTTTTTGTGTTTGGTGAATTGTGAGAGACGGATTGGAATGCAAAAAAAAGTGAGGAGGGAAACGCGCTTCTGGGAACGGTCGTGGCAGGCGCGATAATTCGCATCAAAGACCTCACAGCCACAAACTCCTAAATTCTCACCAGAGTAGGGTAGAGCAATCCCGCTGAAAAAGACAAAATTACACGATCGGACGGTCGTTTGATGCCCATTGATACTCCATGTGCGCCGACAGAACTGTACAGTAATACTCGAGTTCTGAATACACAAGAATTGCTCACGTGGCAACTGCCACTGAGGTTTTTAGCGAATTTTTAGCCAATGAGAGTTAGTCGATTCACTAAATATGAGTCTATTATTAGTGCTATGAGCCAATCACAGCTCTCTATCACTAATGATGGATTGATTCGACGAACTCAGTTCCACACTAAATTAGTACTCTCCACAGACTTCAAATGATGTTAGGGGGGATGTTAGGTCCAAGCTCCATGCGGCCCTAGCAGTTTTTCTTTGCCTTATCAAACGACTAAAGACCTTGTCTTAAGGACCAACCTTAGCCCTCGATCATGAGGAAGCGCTGTAGATCCCCTAGGATGACTTTGAGCTAACCTGAAGAATGGGATGGTAGGTTGGCACCAACTGAAATTGACTGGTACTACATGAGGTAATAGATAGATCCAACGATAGAAACTGATTTTTCAATCTTTCAGATAGAGCACTAATATGTATTGTGGAGTATCGTTCAGACTTCTCTGATGGCAGAGTGAAATCAACTGCTGATACCGGTATAGGTAGGTACGACTACTAGTAGTACTACTTGATAGTAGTAGTCTCTTCACCTTTGGAATCAAGTCATTGTCTCAAACTGGTGCAAAAAGGTTGATTGTATTGCCATCAGAGTAGAATATACAATACCCGAATCTGAAAGCATCATCTATGACTATACTGTATCAGACTTTCCTATCGCGGCTTTGGCCAGCAAGGAACCATGCACTGTTTCTATCTATGTTTTCGCCTGTGAATCTTACTCAAAACCGGTTGATTATTGCATGTCTTCAATCCTGGAACACCCTTTGCGATGAAATCGGGCTTTGTGGTGGCCCTTACTCATCTTGCTTGGTTCCCAAAATGTTGAGTCCATTGAGGACACCGCCGATTATCTACCGAATCCACTACTGGCTGGTTCTCGCAAGCCTCGCATAAGTAAGCGTTTCAATAGTATCATAGCAATAGTACCAGCTGCTAGAGTCGAGCAGTATTCATGCCTTCATTCACCTTGCTTCCAAATGGTTTGTTGTCGACACCAGATCGGGCTGCCGTCTTCACACTGACATCACTTTGTTCTTGAAGTATTCGAGACACCAATAATCGCGGTGCGACGCCAGGATCATAGCGTATGCCATCTTGCGACGCCACGTGTGAAACCAGCACTGTGTTGTATAGCCCCTTCATTGCAATCCTATTGCTTTCTCCTCTTTTCTTCTCTCATCGTTTTTTCCTTCCTTTTCCTTCCTTTTCCTTTCTTCTTCCTTTCTCCCCTTCTTTTCTCCCCGGGGGATCTAGTATAAACTGCTCCACCAGCATAAAATAAAAACCAAAGTTCTTGATGGTAAATTCAGAAGCGTTTAGTACGGTTAGTATGTTTTCTAGCGGTTCCCACAACTTCTGTAGAACAAGACGAAACGCTTTTCAAAACCGTGATGAATGATGACTCAGGTCCATCCCCTAAATGAAAGCAGCAGTCAGATGTTTCGTTGGCAACATGAGAAATGTCAAGAACCGACTATTGGTTCTGAATGTGGACCGCTTAGTACCTGGTAGCCAACACTCAGAAAATGGCAAGATGTGCCACCAACCGTAGCCAAAAACACTAGAGTAAAAGGGTTGGTGCCTACAGGCAAGGAGGATGTTACAGTCTGATGTGGTACTCGGTCACTACTAAGCCGACGAGAGATGACAAAACAGATGCATCTAGTTGTATACCAATATTTATAAGCTTACTACTAGTAATATGAAATTTGCACTCTATTTGGTGTCTTGTGTATGGTATAATCAATCGTTGTGCTCCTCAACACTTGCAATCCCATGGGTTGCAGCAGTAGCGAACACTTACTCCTTGTTGAGTTCCGAAAGTCTTTGCCCCAGTCATTGCGCCCCCTTCGAATGTAGCGAACGATTTCACCATCCAAGCTGTCGCTATGGGGCATGTGAGCGATCAGATGCTGGATTGGAGTGGTCGATTTCGTATCAAGAGGTTCCTTTTTGGCTAAATTCTCACTGGATTTGAGAGTCCAGCAGAAATGCAAGACAAATATAGTTGGTTATATGTAGGGTCGTTTGACATACAAGTACTCTTGTACATGGAGCAAATTCCAGTGCGATCCAACTATAGTGGGACATACCTACAGAAATGTGTTATACACAACAGAGACGAGCACGTGACTAGTACCTGGTAGGATACTACCGGAAGGTCAAACATTTCGAATGCACCCCAATGCGACGATTAGAGAAATTGGGGCAAGGTACAGTACCAGGTACTGTCCCTCGTAAATGGTACAGACCTTGTGAGTTCGGTTGGATCAAGAGTGGTTGGATGCGTAGTCGGGTACTTTGATAGCCTCGTTTTCGAAACAAACGGTGGAAATGTGTATTCACGTTCGAATATTCATACGGTAAGTTTGACACATGCAGCAGTCGAGAGGTATCGATGATAAAAACAATACTTAGCACTGTACTGAACACATAGGTGATCGACTGAAGAATATTCGATAAGGTTATTGTTTATACCTTTACTAAATTGGAATGTATATTCTATATATGATGGTGCTATCTTTTGTAAGATGGAAAAATCATTAGCTGCTCAACATTGGCATTCCCATGGGTTGCAATAGCAGTTACTGATTCCTTGTTGCCGAGTTCCGAATGTCTTGGCAGTCATTGGGTCCCAATCGAACGTAGCAGGACTACTCGAACGATCGCTTCCACTTTCCATGCTATCGCTGCGACTGTGTGAGCGATCAGATGCTGGATTAGAATCGGAACCATCCGATGCGACAGTGAACCCGGCTGAGGATGGGTGGCCGGTCTTGAGCGTGTTACTGGCCTCAATAGTGTACAAGTCACTACATCTGTCAGCCTCGTCTCTTCTCTTCATGTGATTTACCAACGCTTGATTGATGACTTCGTTGTCAACTTCCACAGAAAACGAACCGTCACGATTACAGTGCATTTTGCCAATCTCCGCCAGCAGACCCATAGTGGGCTTCTTGACGTAGTGCTTATCATAGCACAGCTTGTTCTGGATACCCTCGATTCCAATTCCGTCAGGGACGTAAACAGGAAGGCCAGCTCTTGAGACATAGCTGTAGTGCTCGTCAACTGTGCTCTCGTCACACACTCCCAGAATATGGCTGACCTCGGCAGTCACACACATTCCAATGGCGACAGCCTCACCGTGCAACAGTGGACTTACACCCTTAGAGTGAAAGGACAAATGCTCGACAGCGTGGGCAATGGCATGCCCATATTGCGGAACCATCTCATTGAAGTCTGACTCATGGTAATGGGTCAGAGTCGGGACCTTGTGGTCAATACACTCGCGGCAGACCATCTCGAGGTACTCAGAATTGCGGAGGGCTTGGTGGATATCATTGTCCAATGGATCGACAATGGCCTCAGTCATATTCCTGGACTGACACAGGGCGTGCTTCAGAGCCTCAGAGATACCATTTAGGATGTGTCTTTTCGACAGGGTTTCCAAGACCTCAGGATCAATAACAATATTGGTGGCAGGGTAGTATGATCCAAGCAGATTCTTCCCCAGCTGATGGTTCACGGCTTGCTTGAAGTCGATGGCGGCATCAGTCATTCCCATCATGGACGTTGTGATGTGAACCAATGTGATACCACGGTAGAGAGACGAGGCGATGAAACCACACAAATTATTCACAACTCCACCACCCAAGGAGATAATGCAAGAGTTCTTGGAAATACCGGATTCCAGGATCTCATTCACACAGTTAGAGAACACAGCAAGCGTCTTGTGGCGTTCAGCACTGGGATTTCCACTCTCGTCGACGGCATCGGCGGGAGTGACGATCTTGTACACATCCAATCCTGCGTCGCGGAAACCTTGGAGTACCTTATCACCGTAGACCTCGTCGACTATCTCGTCAACGACGAGGTAGTTCTTAGCTTCGTGACACAGCGCTGGGACGAACTCTCGCCCTCGAGTCTCCAGCTTACGAAGTGCACCACTTTCAATGATGATGTTTGATTCAAGTGGCTTACCAGGACGAGCAAATCTATTTCTGTAGACATCGTCTTCATCGATAGTACCAGGAGTGACCTTTGGTTGTGTGAGGTTCATGGTTTGTGTCTTCATTGTTGTTGTTGTTGTTGCTGTTTTGTTTAGTTGGTTGTATTGTTCAACTTTTTGTGTTTGGTGAATTGTGAGAGACGGATTGGAATGCAAAAAAAAGTGAGGAGGGAAACGCGCTTCTGGGAACGGTCGTGGCAGGCGCGATAATTCGCATCAAAGACCTCACAGCCACAAACTCCTAAATTCTCACCAGAGTAGGGTAGCGCAATCCCGCTGAAAAAGACAAAATTACACGATCGGACGGTCGTTTGATGCCCGTTGATACTCAATGTGCGCCGACAGAACTATACTCGAGTTCTGAATACACAAGAATTGCTCACGTGGCAACTGCTACTGAGCGATGCCACCAGTACACGTACAGCAGAGAGGTCGAAAGTTCTTGATGGTAAATTCAGAAGCGTTTAGTACGGTTAGTATGTTTTCTAGTGGTTCCCACAACTTTGATGACTCAGGTCCATCCCCTAAATGAAAGCAGCAGTCAGATGTTTCGTTGGCAACATGAGAAATGTCAAGAACCGACTATTGGTTCTGAATGTGGACCGCTTATTACCTGGTAGCCAACACTCAGAAAATGGCAAGAT